CGTCCAGTTCATCCCAGTTGGGTTGTTCAGCAGAGATCCAGTCTCTCCTTGACCCTGCAAACAGGGGGGATTGTTCAGCGCTCCATGGAGACAGAGCTTTTTCCAGCTCTCATGTGTTTCTCCAGCTTTTTTGTTTAAAAAAAAAGAAAATTATATATATATCTCTATATTATACAGTACAATGAAAATATCCATGGAAACAAATGGGGGGGCTGGAAAAGATGCTGAACAAAAAAGCCCAAAATAAAACAAATTCCCAACTCTTCCCCAGACTGACGCTTGCCTTCTCCATTAGTCCTCCAAAACCACAATCTCCACATTATGGACCTGGTGTTGATGGTCCTCCACATCTCCCACCACTTTCTCCTCAGTCCTCAGCTCCGTCTCCAGGATGACAGCTTTACCCTCTGACTCATCTGTGTCCGCTTCGGGATCCGGCGCTGGGTCGATCTCTATGATGGTCTGACCATCATCTGAGGTGCCCTCCACGGCTTGGATGGTGGAAGTGAGGCCAGACTCCATGGCCACCAGTTCCACGGGGTTGACCACAGCTGCCACGTTCGCCAGAGCACCGCTGTCCTGCATGGCCGCCGAGCTCAGCAGGGCCAGGCTGGAGGACGGGTGGAGGGTGACCGTGTCAGAGGAGTTGGTCTTGGAGGAGGCATATCGGAATAGCTGGGAACCAGAGGGCAAAGTATGAACAGTCACTGGGCTGGAGCCTTGGCTAATGGTTGCCACCGGGATGTTGCCCACAGAGAACTGTTGTCCGACAGGCGCGATAGCGATGGGTGAGATGACCGTGAACTGAGGCTGCTGGATGGGGGTGGAAGGGCTGAGGACAGTGGCGGAGGCCGGGCGCTGCAGGCGGGGTCTCTTGGGGGGTTTGGGAGCACTGACGGGCATCAGCACCACATTCTGGATAGTTTGAGACTTTGCCTTCTGGTCCTTGGCAAGTTTCTTCTGCTCTTCCAGCTGCCGCTCCAAGTCTGCAAAGAGAAGGGCTAAGCAGCGTGTTGGGCGAGGGCCAGCACACCAGGGGAGCTCCTGGGGACTCACGGGCTCCACAAACACCTGTGACACCCCATGTTTGCAACAGGAGGTCTCCTGCCACCCAGTTCACAGAATCACAGAACCATTTCAGGTTGGAAAAAGACCTCTAAGATCAGCCAGTCCAACTCTCAACTCATCACCACCATGCCCACAGTTGAGCATGAGCTTAGCATGTCACTCAAGATCCAATTGCACTGAAGGAGAAGGATGGATTCTCCTGTCACCCACATAGACCTGGTCAATGTTCTGCACGTGCTCAGTGCCTGGGTAGGGAACAGGCAACGCTCTGTACCAATCTGCTGTTTCCATTATCTTCCCCCTGATTAAGGGATGGACATTTCTGCTCCCCAAGCTAGGCCAACCTAGAAGGGAGAGTTTACAAGCCCCTCCAGATAGTAGGACCTGTCTCCTGAGCTTGGCTGGGTCCCATCCCCAGAAGCCAAGCAGCTGTGGTGGGGACAGGGAGCAGGACTGCCTGGGTCAATCAAACATCTCCCTCAACCCTTGTCTGTGTGAACGCTGGAAGTCAGAAGCAGCCCAGTAATCTCATTTATCCAGGGCAGTAGGGGACTAGGACATCTCAGATAAGAACAGGTCCTACAGGACACGCTGAGGAGGGAGACACATCCAGTAAGCAGCTCTGGGGAATCCAGGTCGGGTTATTGGCTTCAGCTCAGGGAAAGCCCTGCAAGACACCTGATAGCTCCATGCCAAGACAAGCAGATAACTCAGCACCCTGCAGATGGAGAAGCTCATTAGCTCGGGCAGAGCACGGTGCTGCCTGCAGCTCGGATCGCTGCCGCACAGCCCTGAGCTAACAGCACCTATTTCCTATCGCCGACTGAATCAGACTCACACCCCAGCACCCTGGCTGCAGCAAAGCACAAAGATTTTGGGCTATCAAATGCCCCAAGTGACTGTTCACTGCGAGGCAAGGGAGAGGTGAAATTCCACGCAAGGAAAGGGACCGGGATGCATTTGTTTCAGGGCAGCATGTATTGAAAAATAACCCAAACGTGGTTCATACGTCAAAGGGAAGTCACATCCGCTCCCAAGAGCGGCGACAGGATGAGAAGCCTTACTAGGCTCTGACTGTACCTGCCAGTGTGTAAAGAAACTGTTCCTCTCCTTGCTCTGTCTGGTTTTTCCTGTTGTCCAGAACCTTCTTGACTGTGTCCATCAGGCCAAACGTGTGGGCAACGTTGTTCAAGACTGCAGCATCTGCAAGGAAAGCGCATGGGGAGGGGTGCCTGGGCCCACGAGTGGCCAAGGGCCTCAGGCAGGTACTCAAAAAATGCTCATATTACACCAGAAATTTCCTGCTGCTTTTTTTTTTTTTGTAAAACTGCCTCTGTTCTTCCACAAGGGCTGGCTGACAAGGACAGACCCAGCTCCCTCATCCTTCTGACATCCAAGGACTAAATAATCCCATTCACATGATAAAGAAAATGAAACAGAGATGTGTCACCCAAGCAACTTCAAAACTGCTGCAAATGAAAGCATAATTTGCAATCACAGAGATACAAACGAGCTCTCCACCTACAAATCATCACCCCGTGCTGCTGACAGTGTCATTAACATGCCAGCTCCACTGAAAGCTCTGCAAAATTTCTATGATAATCCACTGACTTCAATCACTCACAGCTTCCAAAAGCTGCCACCTACCAGACACAAAGATCTGCCAGCCCAAAGCTAAATTAGAAAATAATAATAATTAAAAAAAAATATCCTGGGTAAAATGAAGTTTGGGGCTACGTGGATGTTCTCTCAGCAAGAGCATCAACAAGAGGTGAGCTCAAACCCTGTGCTTACAGGAGCGTGTGCTGAACTGGATTAGGGAACTGATCCAAGTTAAAAATAACCTTAAAGAGGGGAGGGGAGTTATTTTTAACCCAGATCAGTTCCCTCATCTGGTTCAGCTTCAAAACCAGGTTTTCTGGCACAAACGAAGACAGAAGGAGAAGTGAGGGGACAGGACCTGTTGAAGCCTGCGCTGTCACAGGGAAAAGTGTTTGAATAACTCTGGTCTAAGCAGTGAATCTGGGCAGGTTATGATGAGGGCTGCGAGGTGTGGACAGTTGCCCGATGGTCTCAGCAAGCTGCCAGGGTTATTTTGCTCAAGGACCAGGGTGGCACGTTGTGTCCTTGTGCCCCACAGTGGTGTAAGCGAATGTGCTTCCCAGCTGGGCAGGCTGAGACCATGGCCAGGCTGAGTCTGGCTCACAAACCTACCTGTCATCTGGAAGGGAGACTGACCCAACCGCTGCTGGACACCTCTTAGGACTTCTTCTATCTCCTTCTGGATGTTGCACACAACTTCTTCCATCAGCCCCACATCAGCTATTCCTTTCCAGAACATCAGCGTGTCCTCTGGCACAAGGAGAGGGAAAAAAGAAGTCAACATATACAAGCACTTGGTGTTTTTTCCCCACAAGGCTACCTTAAACCTTTCAGGCAAGAGTAACTTTGCAAGATGACTTCTAATTTGCACACTGGGGTGGAGATGACATGCAAAAAACCCCCCAAAAAACCCCAAAGAAGCAAAACAGATCCAGGCAGCAAATCAGTGACATGTTTTCAAGCAGCACCATGACTTCCAAGGTAACATTTCACTGCTTCTGCTCATCTTTGCAAAATGCAGAGCTGAAAAGCTGTATTTGAGGAAATTCTGCCTAAGCTTCTACACTGATCCTAAGAGCACCACGGCCAGAGAGATGCAGCCAAGAGAGCTGACAGGGTACTAACACGGGGCACTAACAAGACACTGCTTGCTGATGGTTTCAGCCTAGCTCCAGGCTGGCAGACGTTTACAGTCTTAGAATTAACAAAAAAAGAAAGCCCCTTGCTGTAACTAGTAGCAACTGATCTGAGGGATCATCCATCAGCCACAAGGCCAGGGCTGAAGTCCCCCTCTGCCTGCAGCTACGGCAAGGAGCTCCGTTTGGCAGGAGGTAGCACACCTGGGAAATGCTGGGATAGCCAAGGGGCTGGGGGACATCTCTGTCATCGCCTCAACCCTCCTTATGTCCTGGATTTCAGTCTTCTAAATTTAACAGGCGAAGAGAAGGGGAGAAAACACCCCAACAAGCAGCTTGAGCTTACCCGATATCTCATCCGTGTCCTTTTTTATGCCTTCCTCAGTGGCCATGGTGACAGCAGCTGTCAGAGCAGAGTTCCACTCAATCCCCTCCTCCATGCTCTCCTCCGACAGCGCGATCTGGGTGATGCTCCCTGTCAGAGAGGCAACGTCAGCTCTCTCTGCAGCACCCAGAGTGCCAACCCTGAATCCCTGCTTTGCTTTCCACCCCCCTTCACCCCTCCCAGGTTCTTTTTCACTCTCGTGGTCAGGTTGGTTGTGCCTGGATTCTTTCAACCAAATTAGTTAAAACCAAACATTGCTGCTTCTCACTGGAACTGTGATTGTGAAAAGCTCTGAGGCTTCTAGAAGGAAAACTACACGCCGCCCAAAAATGAAGCTGGAGCCCTGGCATAAAAGGAGCAGAAATAGATGAGAATAAAGAAAAGAACAAATAAGCCTCAGCCCAGCCACCCTGTTCTCCTTGTGTCATCACCAGGGAGCTCTGCACCCTAGAGATGCCCTAATCTCTTGGGAAATGACAGGGTCAGGGTCCAAGCTGGTTCATGGAAGGGAAATGGATCTGACTCAGTCCTAAATTTCTGGATCAGATTTGGGACTAAGCCCTAAGCCAATGTACAGCCACTGTCAGGTTTTACCATGGTGCCTTCCAGGAGATTCTCCTTAAGCCTATGGACAAGTTTGTCAACTCACCCACCCACCCAGGGCCTTAGAGAAATGTGAGACCTGCCCAGCTGAATGACGTGGTATGGTATGGGAGTAGTCTTCTCCCTTAACCTCAGCAAAGAAATCACTCTTTAATCTGAAGTACAGGATTCACTGAGAATTTGCAGCTGGAATGACAATCGACTCATGTCCAGCTATTACATCCCATTTCTGGACTTCCAGGTGACGTGGAGCAGGCTGCTCTGGAAGAGGTCTGCATGCCTAGATTCATTTCTTGAGTATCAGCCCATCTCATGCCTCTGTAATACATCCTCAAATAGGAAAGATAGCAGGAAATGCTGTACAAACTCCTAGGTGTTTGCTCACATGGTGACCCCAGAACAAAGATCCCTTCAAGATGAGCCTCCCCTGGCTCCAAAGGCTGCCTCTAGTCACTGCTTAGTACCAGCTGCTTTCCAGCCCTCGCATTACTGCGGAGCAGATCTCCCTGACAGATGCTGCTGAGACCTCTCTGAGCAAATATAAGCAGCATATGCCTTCCTAGAAACCAGAGCAGCTCCCTGAAACTGGGGAGAAGGTATAAAGCGTGTGTGTGTCTGTGTGGGTCAACTCGATCTGATCAGCCCAGGGAAGGAAACTCCAGTGGCTTTGCTAACTGGTTTCCTACCGTCAGCTGATGTAGGAGTCTGCACCATGCTCTGCTGTCCTGGCACCGGTGCTCTGGCGCTGCTGATCAGGAGATCAAATTTGGTGCTTCGACAGGTGTTGGTGCAAACTTTGTCGTGCTGGTAGAAGTCGATTTGCCCCGAGTCCATCATCTTCCTGCGCAGGGAGTGGAGGAGAGAACCAGGCTCAGCTCAAATCTCAGCCTGGAGACAAAAGGGGAGTATTCCACGTAGGAATGCTACAGCCATGGGAAGGATGGAAAAAGGGAGACCCAGCACTGCTCTGCACACAAAACATCTTCTGCAGGGCTTTCAGATGGCAAATACAAGCCATACCCCAGCTTCACATACAGGGCTCCAGTCCTGTTCCACCCCCACCAAGTACCAGGACCCTCAAGCGAGGCCATTTCTGTACAGGATGAGGAATCCTGCCCCTCAGATCAGGGGGCCAGGATGTCTGCAGGCTCCTGGCCAGGTAACATGAGCTTCCAAGAGATCTGGGGACTGCAAAGCAGACAGAAGGCCTGCTCGGGGTCCTGCAGCTGCAGTGATGAAGCCCTGAAGCTGGACACAGAGGTAGGCAAGTCAAATACCTCAGCATGATTCCTCCAAGGCGAATAGCTCTCTTCCAGTCCTTCAGGGTAGACTTTCCAGCCAGGTGAACAAAATGCTTCGGGCTGATTAGTTGGTCATTGAACTGACAAGGAGATAAACAAAGGCTCAGCAAACAGGGTGACATGGCTTTGGAAGACTGTATTAGGACATCCAGCACAGCCAGTCCTTGGCTCATCTAAGGCCCTACTTCTACCCAGAAAGAGGAGCTGCTTCTCAAATCCCTACCAGCTCTGATCCCCTCGGCACAGCAACACTTATAACTCGAGAATGGAAACATTTGCAGGGATGACCTGCCAGCTAGCGGCATTCGAACCACGCAGCTCTAGCCAAGGACAGCCCTGAAGGCTCTTGTACAAAGCATGAACCAAATTAAATCCTTCTGTGAACATGTACAGTCACCTTGGAGATCATAACAGGAGAGACTCCTGTTATATCAAATAGCTGAGCAACATCTAGGTGACACAGGTATTCACTGTGGGGAATCT